TGGCTTCCTCCTGGAGTTTTTCTCACTGCAGGTTCACAGACAATGCTGTTACTTCCATCTCTGCACATCTCCATGCAACACACCTTTAAAGAGTTTAAGACTTTTTTGCCTACAGACAGATGTCTGCACGAGGTCTTAGAAGGAGGTTCGAAATGTGGTTGGCAGCAAAATAGGTGTCTAGTGATACTGTATATAGACTTAAAATGAAACAAATGGTTGAGGGTTAAGTCACATGTTGTCCCCTAGAGAGGAATGTGTGTGGTTTTATCTGGATCCCAGGAGGAGGAGCACTCCATCAATCTCCTGGTCACCCACCTCTGGCCTTGTATTCTAGGCCTGGGGTGATAATAGTAGAAAGAGGGCAGATTTGTGGTTATGTTTTCAGTGGTTTGGGGAAGAACAAATGGGCAGGTCCTCCTTAATATAGTATGTAATTAAAATCCCAGTTTGCAGCAAGCATGTGGGTCAGTTTATACTCAACAGAAAAAAGCTAAACAGTACAAAAACATATTTTTGACCTGTGTACCAAAACGCTCATGCAGTGGACTGTAACCAGCGTTGAAACAAGGTTATGGACATCTCAATTCCACCATGCGGTAGTTCCATTCTAGATCAAAAGGTTAAGGAGGTCGGATATCAGACTGTGAATCCCCATTCCTGAGGAAAGAAGACTTTTAAGGACACTCCTGAGGAAGTGTCAGCAGCTAGCGTAAAATCACTACTTGTTTGTTTCTTACAAATGTGGCCACTGTAAAGCACACAGTGTCTGATATCAGGGGAGTCGCAGGTAATTCTGCACCGTGCAACTCCCACATGTTATAGTCATCTCACTCTGGCTCATTTGCATGGCTACGGAGAGTCTTTGCATGGAAGGACCGTATTTCCTGGCAAATTTACCGCTCTGTGCTGGCCACCATTTGACTATTCAAAACACTCATTTGCTCAACAGGAAACGAATGACAAAAGTGAAAAGAGAAAAGACAAGAGACGCAATCTTTGACGTTGTATTTTGTTAGGGTTGTTTTCTTAGCTGAGCTTAGAGCTGTTTTGCATTTAATTTTAATGTTGAAGATTTAGATAAGAGTCGCTGGTCCTTAGATAAGAAGAAATCTGCTCAAGTTCTTCTTTGATTTGATGTACAGTGAATGTTGTGTTTGATGTGAACAGACTGTTTCCCCAATTACAATATTATTTGATGTGAAATAGATTTTTCTTGCCTGTGACACTTCAATTCAGCACCTAACAAAAACACATTTCAAGGTGTCAAATATAATGGGTTAATCAGTGGTACAGTACAGCGCCAGCGGCAGATTGCTTTACTCAGACAGGATTTCTGGCATACACATTTACA